AAAAAAAAAAAAAAAAAAGCACGGTGCAGAGCTTGAAGCACAACTTGGGAGATAGGAGAAAAATGCCTGCACTGGGGAAACGGGCTTATTAGTAGCAAAAAATACAGAAAACAGGGCAGCCAGTGTGCTGCTGCTGCCATTGCTCATGCTGAGGGGGCTTTTTGGGGCTGCTAAGGTGATGCAGGGATAGTTTTGGGGTGCTAGGTTGCCCACCATAGGCAGTCCCATAGCTGCTGCCATGGTACAGGGTATTATTTTGGTAGTGCTCACTAACTTGCATTCCCAGCTTGATTTTTTTTTTTTTAATACAATTATAGAGATGAATATTTCCCAGGTCTTAACATGCCTACCGAGGCTGGAGGGAATTACCCACTGAGCAGTGCCGTGCTGCTGGGGATCCTCTGTCAGGAAAAGGCGCTTGTTCGTGTTTCTCAGCTCCCCTCCCTATTTTTTTTCTCCTATGTCATGTCTTTACTGCTCACAATGGGTAACTATGGGCAAGGGGGTTCAAAGAATGGCCATGGGAATGAATTATTGGAGATTTTGAAGGTTTTTTAGGCCATTTTTGTTTAAAAGATTTCTGGTCTCTGTGGTTGGGTCTTCATCAGATGTTTCCATCCTCTCCATCACCCAGGCTCTGCCCACGGGCAGGGAAAAGCCCCATGAGCTAAAGCAGGCGAGTCCTTGTCCCCTCTGGTTCCATGGGGTGACCTTCAGTGTGCTTTTCTTAGCAGCACCTCGTTTTTTTTCAGCATCTGTGCACAGTAGGTAGTTATTTATAGAAGTGGATCAATTGTCTGGTGGGTGCAAATAAGGGGTTTTAGAGTGTTGGGTCTTTCTGGGTGCAGCTGGCTGGAGCACGTTGTCTCTCCTGTTGGCACTGGAGGTGTTCCCAGAGATGGTTTGGGTGAGGGATGGCTGCACCACGGGTGAGTCTCAAGCCACTTTTGGAGGGGGGCATGGTGATTTAGGACCCAAAGCTCCAAACAGAGCTAGGCAAGGAAGCAGCATGGGAATCCCCCAAACCTGGGTCAACTTAACTGGTCTTAATAGTGGCCTTAAGACATGGCATTTGGAAACGGTGGATGTGCTATGGGCGTTGGTGTGTGCATGGGAAGCATCATGAAGACATGGGCAGGCAAGAACCTGCCAGCATTGCATTGCTTCCAGGTCGTATTACCCTCCCGGTGCTCAATTTCTCCTTTTCTTCCTTTATTTTTTTTCCTCCTGTTCTGTAGATTCCCAAATTCTGCAGGAGCCAGGGGATCGGTCACACTGGTGCGTGGTGGCTTACTGGGAAGAGAAGACACGTGTGGGTCGGCTGTACTCTGTCCAAGAGCCCTCCCTGGATATCTTCTATGATCTACCTCAGGGGAATGGTTTCTGCCTCGGACAGCTCAACTCGGACAACAAAAGCCAACTGGTGCAGAAGGTTCGCAGCAAGATCGGCTACGGCATCCAGCTCACCAAGGAAGTGGACGGCGTGTGGGTGTACAACCGCAGCAGTTACCCCATCTTCATCAAGTCGGCCACACTGGACAACCCTGACTCCAGGACGTTGCTGGTTCACAAAGTGTTCCCAGGTTTTTCCATCAAGGCTTTTGACTACGAGAAGGCGTACAGCTTGCAGAGACCCAACGACCATGAGTTCATGCAGCAACCATGGACCGGATTTACTGTTCAAATCAGCTTTGTGAAAGGCTGGGGCCAGTGCTACACAAGACAGTTCATCAGCAGTTGCCCATGCTGGTTGGAGGTTATTTTTAATAACCGATGACTCGAGACACAGTGGACTCATGACATTTATACTACTTTGCTGCTATTATTTCCTTCTGAGTGCTTGCTTTTCATGCAAACTTATTGTTTTTGTTTTGTTTTGTTTGTTTCCCCCCACCCCTCTTTGAGAAATAGCTTATGGAAAGATTTTTTTTTTTTTTTGCCTTGGGTATTTTGATAAATATATCTATTTTTTAGAAGTGTGAATGACCAATAACTCAGAAGGCCGAGAGAAGGATGCAGGGGGATGGAATGCATATAGTTACTTTACGCCTCTGAAAGGATCATCCTATGTGACTGATGGATTCAGAAGCCACTTGCTATATGTTATAGCTCCTTCTCTTGGATAAAACAACAAGATACCTGTATTTTTTACTCACCACCTTCCCTTTGCCATGCCTGGTGACGGTGACACCAAGATCCCTTCCCCAGCAGTCCTAACCCCACGTTGCCGCCAAAGGATGGTACAAAACCTTCCCAACCGGGTATTTACCCACCCTTTTAATTTTTATTTTATTTTTCGTGTTGCTGGGTTCATGTCTTGTCACTGTGTTCATTCTTCCACTGCTTTTTTTTTTTTTTTTGTGATCGTATTGATACAAGGGGAGAAAACAACAGCGGAGAAACCTCATGCATGGCCCGTGCTTCGTAATTTGAGCTGAGATGAGAAGCGACAGAAGCCTAAGCCTAAAAACAAAAGAAAACCAACAAAACAAGTGAGAAGACGAAGAAAAAGTGTTCACGATAGTTGGTCTGTTGTAACCTGCTTAGATCAGGTTATCCTGGTACCATCCTATCTGGAAATGCAGTTGTGCTTTCATTTCTTCTTGAATTCATACACGAGTATGATACTTTTACACTGTTCTTAGCTCAATGAGCATGTTTAGACCTTAACATAAGCTATTTTTCTAAATATAAAGGTTTAAATGAACAAGAGAGCATTCTCATTGGAACTTTAGCATTGTAGTGCTTTGGAAATAAAACACACTCAAAAAAAAGGACTCCTTAAAAAACCCCTGAGATTTATTAAAGAAAAAAATGTATTTTATGTTATATATAAATATATTATTACTTGTAAATATAAAGACGTTTTATAAGCATCATTATTTATGTATTGTGCAATGTGTATAAATGAGAAAAAATAAGAAAGATGCACTTTGCTTTAATATAAATGCAAATAACAAATGCCAAATTAAAAAAAAAAAAAAAAAAAAAAAAAA